GGCGAGTAAAAATGTACTCTGGTACACATCTCAGTTCTTTCACTGTGAATAATGTTAGTCCCTAATGCATATTTATGATGTCTGTATAATCAATTTTGTAAGGATTTTTTATCCTTATCTCTTTATCACAATTAAAAAAACTATAGCCTAAGAGCAGAAATAATTTAATGAAGAAAAACAAAAAAAAGCAAATTATATTATTTGAAGAGTGAATTTTTCATTGTATCTTGATTAAATTATTTTTAATTGTTTACGCTTGGAAAATTATTTTATCATTGACGTATCAAATTTACAGCATATACATAATCATGAAAAATATGAATAAATTTTTTTATCCAGTGTACGTGTTACAATATGTATAGTATATTGATAATTTTTAGTGTATTAAGATACTTTATGTAAAAATCGATTTGTGTACATACCTATTTTTAAAATTCTTGCATGCATATATAAGTGCTGTTACGTAATCGGCTGTTGTAGAAATAACGCAAAGGGAAAGTACAGATCCTTTAATATAGATCGTCAGAAATATTTTTTACTACATATTATATGAATTTACGTAATGTGCTTGCATTATTGGTAGTTCAAAGACGGATCTTTCTTTTTTGCGTATGGATCAAATAACTTTTAAGCCAATTATCGCGCTTTATAAGAACTGAAATAAAAGTTCGTTTATACTATGAAGAGAGGTGGAGACTGTAGCATCCAACTGGCTACGCTTTATGTATATGAAAACAAGTCCGACCACTTTGATACCTTGCAAATGCGCACATAATGTTACATATTGATAATTATTTGTGAAAAAGCGTGACATAAAATTTTATAAACTGAGAATGTGAGAGAAAGAGAGAAAGTACATATGTAAATTCATTTATTATCCGCAAAGTCATATCGGCGCGGATATCGTAGATTTGAAATAAGCTTTAACAAGAAATGTTGAAATATATGTAATAACAGAGAAAAATGTGTTTTGAGTATGTTTTAACTAAATTATGTTTTAGATCCTTTTTTATCTGGATATGCAACAAAAATGTATGCGTAATTATGCATACTAGAGACTGTGATGCCTGAATTGGGAGAGATACTTTCTATTTTAATTTTTAAAACTTTATTTTGATCTTTATTTTAAATGTTTTATTGTATATAAAATATTTGTGCTATGCTTGCGTGTAATATTTTTTGACGTTTAGATTATAAATTAATCAGAGATTAAATTTAATCACTTGCTAAATCAGTTTTTTAATTTCAAGTGATGACTTTTATTTCCATATTGAAAGTTTAAGATGATACTCGCGGATGGAAAATGTTTAATCATTAAAATTTTTTTCCAGAAATCTTAATGTTGAGATTGTTATTGTTTATAAATTGATAACTTATAATCTCCGTTATAAGCGAGGGACAGAGAATTGCGCATATAAATCGCTTTTATTATCTCGCGAGAAGTAGAATCAAAGACAAAAGAAGAGATAGTATATTAAAAAGAGATACATTGAACAATTTACGTATATAAAAATAATTATAAATTTGTAATAATTACACTTAAATTTAACAATTAATTTGATAAAAATTTTATTGTCTGAACAATTTTATGATCGGTCCAGTTACTTCTCGAGTTCATGCTCTTGCCGACTTTTGATAAGCATATTTAGTATTTAAACACAAGACTATCTAATAGATGACGGAGATTGTATCTCTTCTTGTCGCGACAATACAATCAACCCAGACAGCACATATAACACTAAAAAATAACAAAAGAATGTTTTTTTTAAGTTGTCTTTTCGACAAAATGAGATATGTGTAAGACATCTTTTTGCTTGCCAAAAAGACAATATAAAAAAGATATGTTCTCGTCATCATTTTTATGCTGTATTTTTCGATAAAGTGGAAAAACGTGTTAAAAATATCTTTCCGGCCAATCAAAAATAGTTATTATTTTATATTATTATTTTATATTCATATTTAATCCATATTTATTATTTTATATTCATATTTAAGGTGATGCCGGAGTCCTGTTTTACCGGCCATAATAATTACACTTTGCAGACCGAAATTTTTTTATTATATCAATCGAAGAAGTAAAAACTGTTTTATCGTGCATGCTTGCAAGATAATTCCGCTCGTAGCTCATAGATGCGCGATTTGCATATTTTACGATACGCGATTTTTGTTCCTTACGAATATTAGATATTAAACAAGTATTAAATTACATTTAATTGTACGTATTAAACACATACGTGTTGTACGTATTAAATTACGTAATAAAATTGTCACGAAATAATTATATAAATACAACTATATATATATGGTCGATACAAAATCGATACATACACATGATCGCGAGATACTTGAAGAATTTTTATTTATTTATTAATAATAATTAAAATACTATTAATTAAATTTCCATTTAAGCGAGAAGTAAGTTAATCTGAAATTGTCGTAAAGTTAGTTTACAATATAAAGTAACTTTTTAATTAAATTATACAGTCCCAATTTCGACGAAGGATAATGTTCATATTCTGTAGAGAGTAGATTTTATAAACGGCCACTGATCTCTTTTTCATACGCTATGTATGTTCTTATGATAATAATTATATTACATATAATTATTAATGTAATATTAATTATCCGGTATATTTATAAAAAAATGCACAACTTAAAAATGTACAGTTTGATTCTTAATCGTTTAAACTTTAAACGATTGCATCGGTGCAATGGATGGCTATGTTTAACTCGGATAGATATCGAATCTGCATTCGGACCTGTCTCTGCTGAATGTCAAAGCATCAGTTTCTATTTACTTTATCCTTCCCTTCCTCTCTCTTTCCCGATTGTTTAAAATGCATTATAGATGTATATACGTTATATACGTATGTAATGTACTTTATATATATTATAAGAGAGAAAAGAGGGAGATAAAATAAATGAAGATCAAAGATTTGACAGCTGACATTTTGCAGAGATGGGTCCGAATAAACCCGATATTTTTCAGGCAAAGATTTTAATATTAAAATTGTTAGAAAAATTACTCCGCATCTAATACCATAAATATTTGATATTTTCGCAAGGGTATTGATACTTTGAACTATCAAGGAAAGAAATAGATCATCGTCATAGAAACTCGATGCAAATAATTAATATGAGTACATTTATTTCAATTAATATAAATTAATACAAATAAAATATATAATTGGATGTACGGCTCGTATGACTAAAATCAAATGTCGGTGTAAACTGGCAGTAATGAGCCAAGCGCTGTATAAAGAGCGCAAACTTAATTAATAAACTTAATTAATAAATCCTTTAATTAATAAACAGTGTTTGCGCTCTTTATACCGCGCTTGGCACGTTACTGCCAGTTTACACCGATAATACAAATAATTATATAAAAGTATAATGTTCCAAAACTATAATTTAAATGCGATTGTTAATATTTTGATTTTGTATTTTTACGCGCATTGTCATTTTTTATTTAATACCGTTTTCTAGATAAATATTTAGCTAGTGTTTATAATATATATTGAAAAATATCGAAGTGATATCAAACATCCTAAGCCTTCGTTAGAAGGTAATAGAATGAAACATGGTTTTAGCAGATGAAGCTTGAAGGGTAAAGAGAATTCGACGTCTGTATTTTATTTCTTACATATAATTTTTTCTTCTTATCTGTCTAAAGCTTCCAATTTTTCACCGAAACAAGTGTATCGCATTGTCTTTGGGTATATTTGTCACAGAAATATAACCAGAGAAGAAGAGAGAGAAAGGAAAGAGTAATTCGACAAATAAATCTCGAGGGAAGGAAAATCATTAATATTCAAATTTCACAATAATTTCTTTTATTATTATTATTATTATTATTCCTCCGTTACAATCGTCCTGCTTTCAAAGTCTCGCTCTCGTCATCTAAGCGTTCAAATATTTTTCTCTTTCTCTTTCCCCTAAGTAAATATATATCTTACGCTTTATCTCGCGTGTTACAGTGTCTTACGTATGTAAGCAACCCCCTATTTCGGCATCGACTTGTAGTATGTCTGCGCCTATACATTCACACACGCATACACATACATATATATAATATATATAGAGCAGATGGCGCCGCGAATGTGTCCCCCGTCGTTCACGCGTACACCTAGCCCTCCATTTCTGGCCGCGCGCCGCGCCGCATCGCATCGGGGTGTTTCTGTCAGTGCAAAACCACCCCCGGAGCTGGCGTTATCGGTTAGCGCGCAACGATATCATTCGCAACTCGGCCGATCGCGACAAACTTTGCCGAACGAACGAACTTGGCACGGAAATGCAACTTCCGGCGGGCCCAAAGCTAAATCCTCGAAGTTCATTCATCGAAGCGATACTGAAGCAATCTTGCATTCGCGCATCGGGAAGGAAGGAGAAGTGAGCCTTCGATTTTGATCTGCCGCGATTATCGACGAAGTACATACGTAGACATTGTCTTCTGGAAAATCGTCCGTAAAAAAAAAATTAAAAGAAAAACTAGCTCGTAGGAGATGAGCGAGATATCGCAAGACGTCAAACTTTAGTTGGCCAAGTTGAAGTATTCGGTGGCGAACGTACGGAATTCGATGATCGCACGTTATTTCAATACTCGGTCTAGCGGTGATCAGTGCAGTGTTTTTCCATTTAAATCCATCGCGAGATTCCTTGAAATTCAATAAAATATCGTGAAACTTTTAATTTACGCCACCATATGGGACTAAGAAAGTAGAACAAAGATAAAAAAGATTTATAATAATGCAATAAATAACTGATGGATTGTAGATTACAACGTTGTAATGAAATAAGCGACATTTTATTGGAACACGAAGTATAATTCAGAAAATGTGTCGTTCGACATAGTTAACCACTACATTGACAAATGAATGGTATACATGATTAAGGCAAATTCCAGTCCCTCAAATTCAAGTGAACGATAAACAAGCATATGAAGCAAATTACATATATTTCAATTTTCGATTATTGTGTGTGCACCTTTACATTGCATTAACCACTACATTGACAAATGAATGGTATACACGATTAAAGCAAATTCCAGTCCCTCAAATTCAAGTGAATGATAAACAAGTCTTGACAAGCATATGAAGCAAATTACATATATTTCAATTTTCGATTATTGTGTGTGCACCTTTACATTGCTCGATCGAAAAGTTCTCATTATCAATCCGATATTTTATTCCATGAAAAATTGGCACGTGCCAAATTTTACACAGCTAACGCGTGATAAATCAGATCATATGTCAAGTGGATAAATAAAATGATTATCAAGACCACGTGTGTGACCAACGTTTCGTTCGCATTTTTAATAATTTGAAGAAAAAGATAGAACTCGCACACAAGAAGTAAAGCGTCATGTCAACATCCTTATATGCGGCCGATTTTTCATCTCTCCGGCATCTTATCGATCTTTGAGATTTTTCAGAATTCGAGATTCTTTCGAAAGTTTGAAAGATGACACTGTAAAGGAGCGATTAGCGATGTCGAACAGCGAATCGCCGATCGTATATACTCGATGCCTTTCGATAGAGAGAATCAACTTGGCGAGAGGAAAGGGCATCCTCGGCATCCTCGATGTCGCAGACAGTCGCCGCAGGATCCTCACGACGAGATCGAGATCCCGTTGCTGAGGAACAATCGATTATCATCGCTGTAATATATGCACAGTTCCTATTGTTATTATCTCGGCCGGACCGGCCTAACGAGCTCGTCGCAACATAATCGAAGGGAGATTTGCGTCGATTTGCGAATCTCTGCAAATAATAATGGAGCCGACGATCATGAATCTCGCGAATGCGAGCGACGCTCTCGTCAACTGCAGCTTCGCGAACGAAGTTGCGTGCGAGGTATACGAATTCGATTATAATCGCGAACTGGTTGAGAGCATCGTGGTGGTGGTGGTGCCATTGTTCTTCGGTATAATCGGCATCCTTGGTCTCGCCGGGAATTCGCTGGTGGTTGTAGTGGTGGCGGCGAATCCTGGAATGAGGTCGACCACCAATATCCTCATCATCAACCTCGCCGTGGCGGATCTCCTATTCGTCATATTTTGTATACCGTTCACGGCTACCGATTTCGTGCTGCCGTATTGGCCGTTCGGCAACATCTGGTGCAAGACCGTTCAATATCTGATCATTGTCACTGCTTACGCGAGCGTTTACACCCTGGTCCTCATGAGCCTCGACAGGTTGGTACGTTAAAATTATCCCCCGGATTCACAAACTGTCGGTGTAATTCTGTAGAAAAATTCTCGGTAGACTATGTTTTATTATAAAACGTTGTCTCTCTGTTTGTATTCCGTGAAATACTTGGCGCGTAATATTTCATATAAAACTGTCGGATATGTCCGCAATAGCTGTCAACAAGTGCGAAATAAATGATTTATAAGTCGTACGATTAGAAAGTGAGTTGTTCAGAAAGTGAAAAGAATTCTTATTTCAAGCATGAAGAAAAATGGTCGTTTATAATAACATTTTTTTGTTAGAGAAAAAAAGAATTTGCTCGTAAATATCACATTTATCATCATTATTGGAGCAAAATCGGTAATGCAATCGTACAGCTCATGAAATATATAAATACTAATATATTAATAATTTTATATGTTTGAAACATGTCATTTTACGACGCGGAGACGCTTTTAAGGAGGCACAGATGTTTTTACAAAAACATCTCGCGAACTCGACAATTCATCTTTTTGGGCAGAAAATGACTTATATTTATTCATATATTTTCGTGGCATTTGTTATCTCAATCTCTTTAGAAGCAAATGTTTTAGATGCGAACAAATAATTTGAAATTCTTATTCTTACTTTTTCTTCGGTGTATGTCCTTCAGCAAGTAAGAGAGAGCATTCGTTTCGTTTTATTCGTATAATCGATAAAATTGATTACGACATAAACGTAAACAACTTTTAGAAAATACAAATTTCTTTTTCTTTTGAAAAAATTAAAAGGATTAAAAACAGAATAATATGATGTAAAATAATAATTGCCTGGAGAGATTTATAGAGTATCTCATTTTATAATCTCGGCAGACTTTCTTCTGCTACACATTTTTTTCTTTTAGCGAAAGTTTGATAGACTTTCTTTGCATAATATCAAATTATTTAATATTCACATAAGTAACTTTTACTAGATAATTTACCAATTATTAGACACATCACTTAGCATTGTATTAAAGCGAAATTCTCGTATAATATGGTCAAAAGACTAATAGTTCAGGGGATATGCTTATTACTTGGGGCACTTTGCTTCAATATGGCCGAATATGAAATAAATTCTTCAAATAATATATATATATATATATATATACATATATATTTTATCATTGACGTATCAAATTTACAGCATATACATAATCATGAAAAATATGAATAAATTTTTTTATCCAGTGTACGTGTTACAATATGTATAGTATATTGATAATTTTTAGTGTATTAAGATACTTTATGTAAAAATCGATTTGTGTACATACCTATTTTTAAAATTCTTGCATGCATATATAAGTGCTGTTACGTAATCGGCTGTTGTAGAAATAACGCAAAGGGAAAGTACAGATCCTTTAATATAGATCGTCAGAAATATTTTTTACTACATATTATATGAATTTACGTAATGTGCTTGCATTATTGGTAGTTCAAAGACGGATCTTTCTTTTTTGCGTATGGATCAAATAACTTTTAAGCCAATTATCGCGCTTTATAAGAACTGAAATAAAAGTTCGTTTATACTATGAAGAGAGGTGGAGACTGTAGCATCCAACTGGCTACGCTTTATGTATATGAAAACAAGTCCGACCACTTTGATACCTTGCAAATGCGCACATAATGTTACATATTGATAATTATTTGTGAAAAAGCGTGACATAAAATTTTATAAACTGAGAATGTGAGAGAAAGAGAGAAAGTACATATGTAAATTCATTTATTATCCGCAAAGTCATATCGGCGCGGATATCGTAGATTTGAAATAAGCTTTAACAAGAAATGTTGAAATATATGTAATAACAGAGAAAAATGTGTTTTGAGTATGTTTTAACTAAATTATGTTTTAGATCCTTTTTTATCTGGATATGCAACAAAAATGTATGCGTAATTATGCATACTAGAGACTGTGATGCCTGAATTGGGAGAGATACTTTCTATTTTAATTTTTAAAACTTTATTTTGATCTTTATTTTAAATGTTTTATTGTATATAAAATATTTGTGCTATGCTTACAGTGAACGAGATTCTAGATTTCTTCATTCTCCAAAATATTATAACTAAATTAAGAACACTTATACACATTACCGAAATTCACATATAATTTATTTTAAATAGAATTCTTTTCTATCTTTTACAGAATTACGTTGCTGAAATTTTATAATTTACACATTTTTATAATTTTGTGGATTACATTAATAAAATTAAAAACTATATTAAAAAGATCATCGAATTAATTAATCATATAACGCAGTAAATGATTGATTCATGTTTCGTATTTTTGGATTAGGCACTTTTGAATCGAATATTTAAGCATTCGCAGGTGGAAAATCGATATCAATTTAGTAACACGCGATCTTCACCTATAGAAAATTTGATGTTTTAGATTGATCTATTCGGAATATTTCATATCTTATATCATAGATAACAGTTTATTTCATCAATCTCTTAATCGTATTCTTGATTATGTATGAAATTCAGCGATTTGAACGATCATGTATGAAATTCAGCGATTTGAACGATCTTCGACCATCAATTGCGATTGTATTTTAAATGATTTTTTTTTTCTTAATGCAATAGATCCGGGAAACAGCGATGAATCTTGCTAATTTATAAATCATTTCGTAATGTCCATTATATAATAAACGATGATAAACATTCTTCCCGAGCGTTTCAAAATTTGCTCGGAAGAGAGAAGGAAAAGACAAACATTCTGCATATTCCTCCTTTAAATTAATATACGCTGATACAATTATGAACATTTTTGTGCATAAGCTACTAGTACAGTGTAATAAAAAGGAATATTATCATGTACCTTATGATCACTTTGTCTATTTTTGTATTCTTTAATTTTTATTTCCTCGAATCTACGTGCAAACTCATTCATGAATTCCTCCCTTAGATTATGCGGCTTAACACGATGCAAAGGGAATTACCTACTGAATTATTTAGTGAAAGTTAAATTATGAATATTAAATATTTCGTATGCAAGCTAGTAGGAAGACCGCCTAATGTAATTATCGCTAAGAAAAAATATAGCTACAAGAAAATTTATCAGAGATCATATGATATTAAGACTTTATAAATTTCTTTTGACGATTTATCCCTAATCTTTATCGAGATAAGAAAATTTGTATTTTTTAAGAGTCTTTTACATTTATAACAAAATAAATCAAAAATAAAATATATATAAAAGGCTCAAAAGATAAAAACAATTAATAAAAAATAAAAGTCAATTGGAGCCCAGACACTTATTTAAGCTACAATTACTGCATCTGGGCTCCAATTGACCTTTATTTTTTATTAATTGATTTTACATTTATGTCAAAATCAATTTTATAGACATTGATAAAATCTATATATCGACTATTATTTTTGCAATTATTTTTCTTTGTCCTACCATTCTCTGTCCTTAAAAACGTTATCTTTGTACGGGATATTTACGTGTGTGATCCGCCTTTATCATGGACTCTTCGTAGTAGCTCCGTAAAACGCTTCGGGCTTTTTGGTCATTTGACATTCGATTCGAGTCGCCCAGCTTTGAATCGCGATGCGCGCAGCAGTTTGCAGAGTACGCGGAATATATTCGTTTGATACATTGATCTCGGGCAATCTGAACATGCCAATTTCAGGGCGACGTAGATCATTGTAGATGTTCGCCGTCTAACTCCAATATCTCACGGCGATGCCATTCTCTAGCAATTATATAATCGACAGCCTGGACGTTGTATGAGCTTGATTAAATCAGTGCGAGTTACATTCCCATTATTCAATCTCCGGTCGTTGAGATGCAATTCTGTAAAATATCATTATTATATCAATCGCTAATGTTGTGTAATAATGTATGTGTCGAGTAATCGACACGAATTAAATGATCGATTCGGTATAGATGGTGCGATCGATTTAGATGGATTGTAAAACGACCGAGAAACTCTTCGAACTTGTCCAAGTTTTTATTTTTCTCTCACGGGATCGTTAGATCCTCCTCCTAGATGTGTCTTATCCGTCTTGATTAACATGTTACAGGATTCTTGTGCAAACAATCGATCTTTTTTAAATAATTCTCTGTATCCTACTTGGAATCAGAACGAAGAAGAACTAAACTTAAGAAAGTTCGGTTACTTTCCGTCGTCTTTCTCTAATTTTCTTCCTCGAAAGCAAACATGTACGATGTTTAAACCGGAGATTATCTCCAAGTTGTGATTTTTTAGCTGATTTTAGAGGCAAGGCCAAACTTCTTAAATTGAGCGACTTAGGGATTGCTTTTATAAATTAAACTCACTCTCTCTTTCTCGTAAACCGATCGCCAGTCTAAACTTTAAGGTAAATTTCTAAAATAACAAGAAGCAAGAGATGTTTCTGATCTCGTTACTCTCGTCATTATATTCTGCATGAAACTTTGCTGGTGAAGCAATCATGGCTGTAGAAATAAATAATATAGTTAAAAAATTATAAAATGAAAAGAAAAAAATAGTATGAAAAAAAAATTTATGATACAAATAATAATCTTGTCTAGAATTTAATTTTTGCATGCATATGGAGAGAAAATACTTACATAGAAACTGTTTTGTATTTAGAAATGAGCTCTTGTTTTGATGACTGCAATGATGAACTTGAAATCCGATATCTTCAAGTACTTTTTTTAGCTCTTCGTGAGGTTGGGTTGAATAATGAAATGATCCAACATATTTCTGTTTGTCCTGTACAAATTTAATTTAATTAAAAATTTATAGATGAAATATATCAAAGTGATATATGTAATGCAAATAATAAATGTGCGATATATACATATAAAATTTAAAATTGAAATGAAACAATAAAGGCTCTTACGAAAGAGATTTGTCTCTTATGTTAGCCACCTACACGTGTACATTCGACGGATTTTTAAAATTAATAAAAACGAAGTTCTTTCAGTAGGAAGACCGCCTAATGTAATTATCGCTAAGAAAAAATATAGCTACAAGAAAATTTATCAGAGATCATATGATATTAAGACTTTATAAATTTCTTTTGACGATTTATCCCTAATCTTTATCGAGATAAGAAAATTTGTATTTTTTAAGAGTCTTTTACATTTATAACAAAATAAATCAAAAATAAAATATATATAAAAGGCTCAAAAGATAAAAACAATTAATAAAAAATAAAAGTCAATTGGAGCCCAGACACTTATTTAAGCTACAATTACTGCATCTGGGCTCCAATTGACCTTTATTTTTTATTAATTGATTTTACATTTATGTCAAAATCAATTTTATAGACATTGATAAAATCTATATATCGACTATTATTTTTGCAATTATTTTTCTTTGTCCTACCATTCTCTGTCCTTAAAAACGTTATCTTTGTACGGGATATTTACGTGTGTGATCCGCCTTTATCATGGACTCTTCGTAGTAGCTCCGTAAAACGCTTCGGGCTTTTTGGTCATTTGACATTCGATTCGAGTCGCCCAGCTTTGAATCGCGATGCGCGCAGCAGTTTGCAGAGTACGCGGAATATATTCGTTTGATACATTGATCTCGGGCAATCTGAACATGCCAATTTCAGGGCGACGTAGATCATTGTAGATGTTCGCCGTCTAACTCCAATATCTCACGGCGATGCCATTCTCTAGCAATTATATAATCGACAGCCTGGACGTTGTATGAGCTTGATTAAATCAGTGCGAGTTACATTCCCATTATTCAATCTCCGGTCGTTGAGATGCAATTCTGTAAAATATCATTATTATATCAATCGCTAATGTTGTGTAATAATGTATGTGTCGAGTAATCGACACGAATTAAATGATCGATTCGGTATAGATGGTGCGATCGATTTAGATGGATTGTAAAACGACCGAGAAACTCTTCGAACTTGTCCAAGTTTTTATTTTTCTCTCACGGGATCGTTAGATCCTCCTCCTAGATGTGTCTTATCCGTCTTGATTAACATGTTACAGGATTCTTGTGCAAACAATCGATCTTTTTTAAATAATTCTCTGTATCCTACTTGGAATCAGAACGAAGAAGAACTAAACTTAAGAAAGTTCGGTTACTTTCCGTCGTCTTTCTCTAATTTTCTTCCTCGAAAGCAAACATGTACGAATCCAACATATTTCTGTTTGTCCTGTACAAATTTAATTTAATTAAAAATTTATAGATGAAATATATCAAAGTGATATATGTAATGCAAATAATAAATGTGCGATATATACATATAAAATTTAAAATTGAAATGAAACAATAAAGGCTCTTACGAAAGAGATTTGTCTCTTATGTTAGCCACCTACACGTGTACATTCGACGGATTTTTAAAATTAATAAAAACGAAGTTCTTTCACATGCGGATATTATTCTACAATTTTTTTCTTATGCCGCATCTTTGATGTAATAATATTTACCCCCATATACGTTGCATATCGTATATCTTGCGCCATAGCTTCCAAAGATTCAAATACGGTTGCAGCATGCGCTATGCTTAATATAAGCATAGTTTTATCAGGTCGAAGCATATGATAAATATTCCGAAACGTTTGGCTATTAAATAAAGATGCTAAATATTAATTATAATTTTGGAAATATACATCTATTAGGATATTCTTTCAAAACATAGATAAGTAAAAGTACATTGTTAAAGACATATATAAAAGTTATTTCTTACGAAAAAAATTAATCTACGCTTATTTAATAATTTTTCTTACTGAACGTCATTGCACCACTGCAAAGCATGAAAAGAAAAAATGTGATTAAATTCTGAGATATATTCCTCGGGCAATTTTTTAGTTTGAATATCTAGCACTTCGAATTTGAGTCGTTCTTTATCACCATATGTTTTGTTGGCGTATTCAACCATTTTTTCCATAATATCTGTACCTTTACAATATATAATTATTGCATTAATTAATGATAATTTACATCACACAGTGTATGTGCGCGCGTCTGCGAGAGCTATTATATTCTTATAATTTATTATTTTTACTTACCAATTATAGTTACATTCGGATCAAGAAACGGAAGAAGAATATCCTTTGTTATATCCCCGGGTCCACAACCGACATCCATATATTTTCCAGATATATTTTTTAGTTCTTTGTCGAACTCACTGAGTAGCAGTGATATACTGTCTCTATTTAAACTATCAAATAATACGAACTGCGTTGGGTCCACCATTGTTTCACGATGGCACTCAAATAACGAGGATATTTAATTAGCAGAGGATATTAACCGTTTCCCTTATAATATCAAGTGAGTATGGTGTACAGTGCCTTTACGATTGTCTCAGGTCACGTCTATCTACGCTCTACGCTGGATTTTGCTTGTGCCCTCATATATATAGTATATCTAGACCAAGTGTTAAGGAGTGGGGTTCGTCAAAAAATACCAACTCTTGATTAACCAATTTCGGGATATCGATCTTAAAAAATCGGGATTTTTTTATTGGTATAATTTTAATTATAAAACATAATGCGGTTATAATATTGTAATTTTATTGAGTTTTCTTTTTATATAAAACCGGCTAATACTATAGAAAGAACCAGCCTTCGACTATGGGCTTACGTTTTGTATTTAGTTTATTAATTTAGATTGATTAATTTGATGGTTGACTCCTATCTTGACTCTTATCTTTGGTTTGTATTTACTATTCATACTCAATGTTAAACAATAAACAAAACATAGCCTTTTATTTCCGTCGTCTTTCTCTAATTTTCTTCCTCGAAAGCAAACATGTACGATGTTTAAACCGGAGATTATCTCCAAGTTGTGATTTTTTAGCTGATTTTAGAGGCAAGGCCAAACTTCTTAAATTGAGCGACTTAGGGATTGCTTTTATAAATTAAACTCACTCTCTCTTTCTCGTAAACCGATCGCCAGTCTAAACTTTAAGGTAAATTTCTAAAATAACAAGAAGCAAGAGATGTTTCTGATCTCGTTACTCTCGTCATTATATTCTGCATGAAACTTTGCTGAAGCGAGGGGAGGCTTAACCTCATAGGACTCCGCTTACACCAGATTAGCAATTCAAGCTATGCTAATGACGAAGCTTGAAGGCGATGAGCCATGTCAAGGATAAGAAATTGTCCGCAGATATCTGGCGGTGGTGCATCCGATTGCCTCGATGTCCTGGAGAACCGAGAATCATGCCATATTGGCGATCGGCATCGCGTGGGTGGTGATCCTGGCGCTGTCCACTCCCGCCTTCGTGATCCACGGTGAGGTAAGTGAACGAGATGCAACGCACAAAGTGCATCCCCGAGCAGGCTCTTGTTCTCTTACATAGTCCGCGTGTACGTAGATTCACTACATGTTCCAAGAGGGAGACGGCCTAGCGGAGAACCTGACGGCCTGCCGGATCCTATCGCAGTACGACTGGACGTCCTTCCAGGTGTCCTTCTTCCTCATGAGCTACGTGCTGCCCCTGGTGCTGATATGTATCTTTTATATGTCCGTGCTGGTCAAGCTGTGGCGCAGCGCCCGCGTCAGCGCCGAGAGTCGACGTGGCAGAAGACGCGTCACCAGACTCGTCTTCGTCGTCGTCGGGGTCTTCGCCGCCTGTTGGTGTCCCATACAGGTAAAAATGGCCCCCCGTTGTTTATCGGAGGGAACCTCCTCTGACGATTTTATCGTTGCCGTGATTCAATATCGTCGTGTTGCAGGTGATACTGGTGATCAAGTCCCTGAACGTGTTCCCGCTCACCACGACGACGATAATGGTGCAGATAGTCAGCCATATCCTTGCCTATACCAACAGCTGCGTCAACCCGTTTCTATACGCCTTCCTGAGCGATAACTTTCGCAAAGCCTTTCGGAAGATCATCTACTGCAGGCCGCGCGCGGAGCCGAACAATCAGCTGACACCAGCGACGAAGACAACGAGAGCTGGCAGTAGCGGCGATATTCTTTAAAGGTGAGGAAAAATTCAATCTGTCGCTCATTTCTCATCACTTCTTTTATTTATTTTTTATTCGCAAAATACGGTCGATACTATAACCCGTCGAAGTGTCGATCTTCGCTTTTGAGATACCCTGCATATTACGGAATCAAGGACTCCGAGGTATCACGAATTGCAATTACTCCTTACAATAGACCGAGTTTTCTTTTCTTTCTCGAGCTTTAACTCTCGAGGCGTAATATCGGTCTGCGTGTGTTTGAGTATAACATCTAAAAATATTTATTGCATTTAATTTTTCCAACATAAAATTTTTTCATCGATGGATATTTCTTTCAATGCTTCGCTTTATTTTTGTTCCTTACCTACTTTTTATTATCCTTCGGAGAATCTGTAACAAAAAAAAAAAAAAAAATTTCCGCGTTCTGTTAATCATATCGATCTCCGTCGAAGCGATATTATCTGATGTAACAATAAAGGCCGTCGTTACGATCTGGAGGATTAATTGGAGCATCTCTCGTGGCGAGATTTCAGAGGATTCCGAAGGTATCTTTATCAAACATGTTACGCAACATGTTACACTATCGTCGTTATTTTTCTCCTTTCTCCTCTCCCCCTCCCCGCCTTCTCCGCGAGACGATATAAATTTCTTCTTCGGAAGAGATGACGAGCGGAATCGTGCCGGGGGCACTTAACGACATTACACGATTTACTTGGCTTCAGATTCGGGCCCAGCCTCCTCGGCTCCCGGTATGCGCTTAACAAAATTTTCCTCTTTCCTCGTCCTGCTCTCGCTCCTCTCATCCCCTTCCCCTGCTTTCCTCCCTTCTGGGCTCAGCGTGGCGTATCGCCATTAACACGATGACATTTTCACAGCTAGTTTACTCCGGCTACCATTTTCGTCTGTCCCTTCTACACGTGGATATCGGGGGAGAATTAGAGAAGCACGGGAGGGGAGGGATAGAGGAACGTAATTTAATACCGCGAGGCATTAAATAATGTTAAGTAAAGGCGCTGGCAGCGGACAGATAGAACGGAAGGAAAATTTTCATTTAAAACAACTTCCGCTGACGTTGCGAGTTGCCTCGCTCGAGCGAGAGGTAGCGAAAAGTGCTCCGCTCAGACATAATAATAATGACTGAAGTTTCTTTTATATAATGCATGATGGTGAGCCTGCGGAACAAACATATCACTCGGGGTAACACGGGGTATCCTCTCCTTTTCTATTTTACGTAATTGTTATTATGCAATAAGGAGCGACTATTTCCATATCATTTATTTACGATTGAAGATCAATTTATTTAATTGCGAGAGAGAACATTGCCGTGCAGAATTTATTTTCATAACTAATTCTCTTTTCGAGGTGTGAGAAGAGAAAGAAAGAAATGACATTATTAATATTAATATATGTAAATATTTTATAAACGTTATTGAGATACTACTATATATATTTTCGTTAATATAACTAAAGCGTTCTCAAGTTTTTTGACATTATTCTAAAATTTTCATATCGCGGTTGCATGCGAGAATCCTATATGGACACACTTGACGTAGGCGAAATCTTTATTGCGGTGTCACAGATACATCGGCGGACGCGATTTATTACCGCAATCAAAATTTCATTCTATTTGCTCCTTGATTTATTTTCACTCGGGAACATCGTTTACAACGGCGTGTATTGAAGGCTTTTCCGAGAAGAAAAATCATCGCGACACGTCGCAGGTAGCGAACAAACCTTAATCAGGCTCTCCGTTCCCCGGAGAGATTGACGGCTCACCGAAAATTCAATTAACTATTCTTTGATACACACCGGTGTTGTCGTTTTATGCCGTAGCGATTCGCTCTTTGATCCCTTACCGCGTACGACCATCATATTTTCTTCGTCCTTTTTTTCCCACCTCGTACGATAGGACGGGAAAACTGACGATGAATGGATTCCGTTTCGATACGATTTATGCACGTGACATTAACCAAAATTAATATCGATCGATCGTTTATTTACAGCCTAACGGGCCTAAAATCGTCAGCTGGCGCGTTTCATTTGAACTAGTCGGAATTATCAATATCCCTTTGTGCTTTTCAGTTCGTTAAACAAACAGATGATGAGTAGATATTGCATAGTTTAATCCGAATTGATTCATATTAGGCTCCTCCTCTGTTGTGTAAACAGAAATACATAATGAATTATATCAGCGCGTAACAAATTTCTCGAAGCTTGAATATCGGTCGGGAAAACAACCTTATTAAATTTATTTAGTTAATAGCGTAAAAAAACTTGATCTCGTAACGATTTTACGTCAATTATCGGAACATTATTAAATGGTTGGCAGTATAACTACTCGCCGAGGATATGTATCCTGGCATACAATGTAATTGACATCAAGTGTCACCGAGAACAAAAATTCACCGAGAGCAAAGAATGATACAATGCGATCGTGACGACGCAAGCGAACAGTTCCGAACTGTTTGGCAGCCCAGCCAGACGGAAACGCCCTATATTTTATACGGATGAGACGTTTATGAAAGGATAAGCGATTCTCCCCGGGTAATCGCCGGCGCCCCGAGAACGGGGGCGCACGGACCGCTCGTAAAAATGGCACTGGGCTCTAGTGCAAACAAGTCTTAATCAAATAGATTTGTGTGTATGCAACGGGATGGTAATTCGATCTTGACTAAAACGTTGAGCAAAATCAGCTCGGCGCGATATTAGCGGCTTTATTTGAGCGTGTCAGTATACGACGATTTGCTATCAATAAACAACGCTGGACCAGGATAGATTTGCGCGCTCTGCTTTTATCGTGCTCTCTTTATTTTACTAATAGATTTCGAAGAAATCGATCGCGAAGCACGATCGCATATCGAGATATGCAAAATTAATTGCGTTCGAGGATTACATCTGCTTTCGTTACGCGGAAATTCATTAAATTTTTCGCTTAAAAGATAGCGGTGTGAATGCAACTTTTTAATAAAATTTATAAAATAAGACTTTTTGCATTTACGAGAATTTCTAAGATGATTACTCTTTTTAATTTTGAAATTTTAATATCTTCTCTCTCTCTCTCTCTCTCTCTCTCTCTCTCTCTCTTTGATACTTCTAAAATGCTTTTTAATTCAGTGCGTTTTATATAACTATATTTTTTAAAAGCGTTACGCAGCCGAATTTAATATCTTCTCTCTCTCTCTCTCTCTCTCTCTCTCTCTTTGATACTTCTAAAATGCTTTTTAATTCAGTGCGTTTTATATAACTATATTTTTTAAAAGCGTTACGCAGCCGAAAATAAATAAAATATGTTGACATTTTAAAAATTTGGTCGTATTGATTAGGAACACAGAGCAATGTAAATCCGGAGATAATACGCCGCGAATAATTTTGCTTGTTTCATCTTGACAATCGCGACATTATTCTCGTTTTCTTATATTCGTTTTGCGTAATTAGCCATTGAAAAGCTTCCAAGCAAATATGGATTTTCGCTGATTCAGTTTATGTAGCGGGAACGTCGAGAGCCATAATTTCAAAGATATCCCAAAAAAAGTTGTCGCCGTTGCCACATGATAAATGGAAATTGTTTGGCAAGGATTTAGGAATGTATATCATAGAAGGTTGACATTCTCATGAATTGGTACATACGACGTGTCTACCACACAAGAAATATCTCACGCGCGATCCTCATTTGTATAAATATAGCGAGATAAAATTGACAAGAAGTTTTCTGATAAACATTTTTGGGGAGAAATATAATTTTATAAAAAGGCTTACAAAGTAATTTAAAAAATGACTTAAATTAGATCGTTTCACATGTGAAATGTTTCGATATTCGCGCCAGTCATAATTTTCAAATAATGTCAAAAAAAAGATTTTATCCAAATTGTTTTAGCTCTATGTATATTCTTTTACGTACACGATTTATTTTATAATTTTATTTCAATATAATCCAGGAATTTTACAGATCAAAATGATTGAAGATTGTTAAGCTCGTTTCACTGGCATATTAATCATTTTTTCATGCTAATGTGTAAACTTTTTATTAAAATTCAGTTTGTATCTCGTTTGCATAACTTTATGGTCTAATTGAAATTTATTGGAGAATTGAAATTGTTAGTTATTTATTTTTTATTATTTGTATATTTGTCAGACGAAAGAAAAATAGATAGCTTCAACGTAATGTATAAAAACTTAGGATTATAAAAAGAAGTTTCTTCACAAAATAATATATGCTGCAACGTTGAGGAATACCTTCTGTAAAATCCGGCGTTTTATGTGCGATCTAATGAGTGCAATACGAAGGCAACGATATGCAAATTTGATGATGTGTATGCAGATCGATCACGAGGAGAAGGTCGATCGACGGCGTTGGGAAGAAGCTCAAATCGAGGAGGAGAAGAAAGAAGGAAATAGCCAAGAAGCGTGAAGGGTTGTGGAGTACGCCAGCCGGCCTCTTTTACTCTCTCGAGAAAAGTCTTCCGCTTATTTCACGACGCGGCCTACTTTCGAAATCTCATCCTCTCCTACGGGAATTATGCTGTCGAGATCAGGGAATGGTGAATCGAGTCGGAATCGAAGTCTGGAATTCCGAGAAACTATTTCGACAAGTTATAATCGAAAACATGCAAATCTCTGATCATTATTTAAATATTTTTTTTTTAACTTGAAGAACGGTGGAAGATCTAGGTTTCCATAGTTTTTGCAGAGAATGAAGGAAAGAGGGAATATTTTTAAAAAGCGTTTGATTGCGTCTCTTGTGATCTTTGTTTTACACGCGACAAGAAAGAAAAAGAAAAGAATTACATTTATTTAATATATCGCAAAAGTATCATATAAGCTAAAGGATCAGAAAATTCACATGTAGAAAATTCTAATGTCCAGTTTGCGCGGGAACACACTTGTGTCTTTATATTTAAATGTTATTTACTGTGTTACAGACACAAATTATCACCGACGACGGCGCGGATCGACGAATGTCTACGATCTATAGGATATTCGGTGTTCGATGTCATCTGGCGATTAGCGGAAAGACGTGATTTTCAATTCTTTAAATCTCCGCCAAATATATATACACTTTATATTTCTCTCGATTTTTTTATCGGTAAAGAAATTATACTTAAATATCCAAGGCGGGTATTTAAGTATAATTAAGTTGCAAAAGTACGATCTGAGAACAGCTTTTAGCAGCGTCGAGATGCAACTGGCCGCAGAGCAATTTGCGGAAAAAAGGGCCTATTATACATATATCTGATCGTCAACATCGACACGTCTCTCTTTGAGTGGATCTCATAAACTCGATTAGCGGATTACGAATCCCCGGGCGATATTTCGCGAGTGCGAAAATTTACGAAATATTAATAAATGTAAAAAGACGCGGACTCGTTTCCCGACGCTCACCCTTATCCAGGGCAGCTAATTTGAAAGATTCTCAGGGTCATCGTCAGGAAATTACACGTCCGAGCATTGTAAAGTGTATCAATAAAGACATTGAGATAAAATATATATCTCGTTTGCTCGCATTATTGGAGTAAGAGGGGAGGAATGACATTTGATTGACATTTCTTCTTGTATTAAGAGCTGTATGTCAGAATGTAATAAAGAACTATTTTCGATGTAATTTTAAATTTTTTCATTAATTTTGTTTACGGATTTTAATGAGAATAACGGACATCGTATGCCGGAATTAAGCATTTACATGCGAAAAGCAACGAATCGCCTTTCAGAGAAAGAGCTGTTACTAAGAAGACATCTAAAACAATCTTCCTTACTAAAATAGCAGCATGATTTATGCTTCGCAGATGACTAAACTTTGCATTAAGCTTCGCAAATCACTAAACAGAGCCAGATTTATCGGTGATGATGTTCGGAAGGAAAATAATTCGAGCTTTCATATCGAAAAAAGCTTATTCCTCAATAATGAAATAATTTATTTCAAGTATGCGTCTCTTATTTATTTATTATTTGTTTCTGTGTTTTCGACACAAATATGACAGTTTGATTAAAAATTTCGCAATTGTTGATTAAAACATTCTTACTTATTAAATCTAATTTATATATATTTAAGAAATATATTAAATGTAAAAACTCATTTTATCTTGAAACAAGAGAGAAGTCGTTCCATTAGATCGACAAAATTTAATTTGTGTTGATGTCGTAATCCAATATTTGCAGATCGTTTCTAAACCTTAACTATACGCGAACGGCGATGTAATGAATTTCCCTTTGTATTGGGTGTAAACGTGAGAGAACTTCACCTTTTATGCGAACAACCGGCTTAACGAGATGACAGGATGACTTTAAGTAGATGGAATTAAGGAGTAATAAATGTTCTGTTAAAGAACCGCATTTTCTTGCCGACTTTTCTCTGCTTATCGTCTCAATGCAAGGATTCGAGAGAGAGAGAGAGAGACAGAGAGTAAATTTCCGATAATCGTATTAATAAAATTAATTGATGTGCGAGCACGATGTGTCGCCCTTCATCGTCGTCACCGGTCGTTCTCGAAGATCTCAATTCTACAATCCATAAGACCTTTGATCTCTCTTCCTTTTATTATTTTTTAATATAAATAATCATTGGTTTAAAACTAAATTGATAAAATTCTTAAAATAAAATTAAAAACAATCTATTATTATGTTTTATATTATTTATTTTATGTTATGTGAAAAATCGGGACAAATAGCGTCCCGTTTAAGGTTCTTTCGGGACGCTTCTAATGAGAGCCGAAAATCGGGATGTTCCGAAAAATTCGGGACGGTTGGTCACCCTAGTTGTACCATTAAAAAAAAGGCCTACAACAGAAAGAGACAAAATGTCACATAATGCCCTCTTTGTCATCCCACATTTTAAATAGCACGGCGCTTTTTAGTGTAAAGTTCAATGGTATCACTATTCTATCTTTGTCTTTTCATCCTCTCTACTTTTCTGTTTCCCAATTAACAAAGTTTTTTTTACTCTACTACGCATCGTTAGAAAAAAAATAGATCGCACAACAACTTTCTATTTTTTGACGCGTTCTGATTACGAGAAATGTAGAGATCGCGCGACTTATATATTATACGTCTATGTGCGCCCTACGGTGCTGTTACGATTGCGACTGTCTTAGATGCCCCTAAAGGTGGGTATACAATACGTTTTGTAAAAAGATAAGATAAAAGAAATCCAAAAATTATGTTTTCTGGCTTTATCTTTGCGAATATTTCTATAATATCTTTATAATCGAAATTGTTGGCCATTTCCTTTTCGATTGGTAGGATCGCTAAATCCTATATTCTGTTAAACGAGGTTCTACAAGGACGACGGCATTGAGCTGGGTAAAAGCAATCATCGCAGATCGAACGATCAATTTTCACATATGTTTTTGAACACTTCAAGAGATAGAGGGACGTTATCGGGAAGTTATTATTCTTTAAAATAAAACTTTGAAATGTACACTTATTTTTAATGACTTACCTAGTTCCGTATAATTAAATTCTCTTTGAAAGCAATACGGAGTTTAATCACGACTGCCTTTATTATATGAAAAATTTGTTAACGACTGCACATATATTATCGGTAGCCTTTTTATAAATGATGTTTTTTGCAATGTTTTGGAGGGGATACCTGAAGTCATCATTTCCTTGGCAATTTATTTATTACGTGAGCTCGTACACTGAATTATCTTCATTAACATGATTACCTTGATGTTTTTTGATCAACTTTTTGATTTTGATTTCGATTACGCATTCCAATATATTATTCATAAAGCGGCGTCTACAATAAGATTTTAAGCCCTAAGCCTTAAGAAATTGATTAATCACATTCGAGTATTCTTCACGGTCCAATCGTGAGACTATCTTGGATGCGTCATTTAAAGTGACAGAAAGATAGGTAGCGTAGATGAAACAGAGAAGAGAGAGAAATGATTATTGAACATAGAAGGCCCATCTCCTATTTTTGTCCCTCCTTGAATGATCGCTCAAGATGAACGTTATATATCTGTGTAAATCAAGAGAAGACCTCGCAAAAGAACTTCTAGATATCCAATCATTTTATTTTTTCCTCTTTTAATCATTTCTGTTATTTACTTTGTCACTTTAATCGTGGATTTGGAATTTGCAACCCGAGAAAAAAAGAAGGTAAAATAAATTTTTTATCATATAAAATAAAATATCAGCGTTGATTTTTTTCTCCGAAAAGACGCGTTTAATCGTTCAAATTATTGCGATATCGGATGATTAAATCCCATTCTATTTTCGAAAGGCATT